GGCTGGGTAGGACCTTCTGGGCATTAAACGGTTTGAAAGACTGGAAAAAGACTGCTAGGTCATGACATAGGGACCGAATATGACCAATCAGATCGTCACTACTGGGAATCTGAAGTTTAGGCGAACCAATCATAGTGTCGGACTCAGAGACGTCAGGGACCAGTGCAAGCCCATTTGAAAGAACACCATTTAGCTCTTCGATTTCCGCCTGTTTATTACGGATGAGCGTGTGCTTTGAGGCCCACTTAACAGCGCCACGTCGTAGTTCAGCTAATTCAGCCTCCTTGTCGGCGATAAGAGCACTAATTTTTGCTCTTAGATCCAATTCCTGTTCATTAGCCTGTCTGGATGAGTTGTTAGTCTGACGCCTGAGTTCTGACTCAGTGTCGGAGGTAGGACTTGAGGTTGCTAGATCTAGCCAGGCGACAATTGATGAAGTTTTCATACTATTCGCATTTAACTCCTCCGAGATAGCACTTTGACGCCAATTGGACTCACTGTGGACGTTGTCTAGCAACTTCTGTAGACTCTGCATCTGACTTTGCAGATGTACAACTTCCGCGTCGACGGCTTGCAGACGTCGCTCCATTTCCTGCATCTCGTGGAATGGAACCGTTGAGACCGTCAATTCACAAGAAATTGAAACCAGCTCTTTGAGCGCATTCTCAACGTCAGGACAGCAAAAGGTGTGTTTAATAGGATGCTGGTCGCGTAATATGTTCCTTAATTCACTCCATCGGGGTTGTTCGAAAGAGGAATTCGTCGAAATAAGGTATGCCAAGAAACTGAGAACTCCAGCACAGCAATGACATCGACTATGGGTGCATTCATTACCATTATTTGAAACTGGCTGGGTCGAAGAATCGAAATGTTGAGCTGCCTCGTACCGGCCCAAACTCACTGCAGTCAAGATATCCCGTGTTGCAAGTGGGTAGACAGTAGGACTAAGTTCAGCTGTCGCTTCAGAAAGACGTCGTTTGATGTCTCGAATTTGTTCAATCAAACTACTGGCCTACGACACAAAGTAGGAATTTGAGAAACCCATCAAAGCATCAATCTTTATGAGAAAACTATCAGCTACTATCAAAAGACTATAAACCGATCGAAATCAAAAGCTAGTCACATTCAAAAATCAAAGTAGCAAGGCTTTAGCCCAAACGATAACCAGTAAAATGAAACAAGAAGCCAATGTTAGGACAAAATAGCATATTGATAAAAATCTAAACCAGTTAAATTTCTTTACCAAGAAGTCCTGCGGTACCAATAGTCTTGTAGTCATAAAAAACGCGTAATTTGCTCTCATTACTAAGACGTAATAAATACTACCTTAATAGTCATGTCAAAAGGGGAGAAAGACAATGTTCTGATAAGTGGATGTACGTGACTCACCTCCGGGTACAACAAAGTTTGTGCAAATCGCTCGTCAGAGCTTTGCTCCTGACGTAATGAGGCTTTCGGCTGTGAACCAGAATTCCGACCATTTTGACGGTTGCATCCGCTCGTCCGAATCGACGATAAATGTCCGTGTGAATCCACACCAGAGGACATTGTCCTAGAATGCAAAACGGACAAAGACTGTCCCCTGATGTTACGAACACTCGGGTTCGTCAAAGCTCGAAATTCTCTTTCATCGGGGCTATTACGAAGGGTAAATCGCGACAATGAGCGCGTTGGTCGTCTAGAAGAAATTATTTTATTCCTCCCAGAGGCGCCACCATTTGGATCATTCTACCCAATGCACATTTAATACTATGATAAACATACCATTTAAACTGTAAATAGAGGGAAAGTTAGGACTATCTACACAAGCAACGCAACAAATCCGACCACTAAGAAAATATGACCAATGCGCTTAGGTTACTCAGTGAAAATGCTTGCGTCTTGATAGAATCAAACAACAAAGACCTTACCTTAATAATTAAAAAAATCAGTAAATCACCAAATTTTAAGCAATTTTCAAAGTATGTATTTAACAGACCAAAGTGACATGAATTTGATCAACCAAAAATAATACGTACATTGGGAGTATTTAGAAAAAATAAAGGCGATAAATTAGTACTAAAAAAAGCCTTAAGCATGTTACAATAGCTTTGAACTAGCTAAGAGGTTCGTAGGAATAGGGCATGTGGAAAGCGTTGCAGGACGTCCTGGATGTATGAAAGCATACGCAGAAAGATTTTAAAGAGGAAATACAGCAGGCAGTTGTCACATTTGTAATGGCCTGAGACCCTTTAAAATTGTAAAACAAAGTAACATTTTAGCAGAATATGTATTGTCGACACACCATCGGGCTTGAAGGTAGTTAAATGGCCGTAGTTCAGTTCGCCCAAAGAAGGTGCAATTGTAATACGATAGTGGTTTATCCCTCGGTATTGGTGAGCCGCCGCTTTTGTACTTTGAATTAGCCCCCTTGTACCTCGCTGGGTGGGCTGACCTTTTGGGCCATGCCAATAACCCAGACACCTCTGCGCTGAATATATATTCTGCCCGAGTATTGTGTCTTCTTTCTTCTTCAGGGAGTCTCGGGAGGCTACA